CTAGTTTAGGTACAGAAAAGGTTCCTCAGATGTTATCCCTTAAGTACAGTTCCTCTTGATTTGAAGGCTTTTCACTAAAGAGACAAATTATCTGTCCCCCACATATAGTAGTAAGATAGGAATAGGATAACAACTTATATGTATTCTTGCTCAACAAGGAAGAAAATGGGAGGAATATAGGAGTTAGCAATCCATAGAAATTCTGAAATCCAGCTGAGCAATGTCAGAAGTTCTTTGATTAGGATTCAGTCCTACCCGTGCCTAGGAGTTTTATTCTCCGTGGCTCTTGGCTCCCTCCTCCGGGCTTTGGTTCTTCCCTCTGAGGCATCCTTCCATTATCAGGGAAGGTACACATGTTTGTGGCTGGGTAGTTTTCTCAGCCTGCTGCCATGTGACAACAGAAGCAGAGAATGGAGTGATACAGTGACAAGCCCAGGGACACCAAGTAGCCAGGAGCCACCAGAAGCTAGACAGAGGAAAGGAAGGCTTCTACCCAGAGTCTCAGAGGGAGTGTGGCCCTGCTGCCACCTCGATTTCAGACTTCTAGCCTCCAGAACTGTGAGAGAATAAATTTCTGTTGTTTCAAGCCACCTAATTTGTGGTATTTTGTTACAACACTCATAGGAAACTAATATATTTATCACATAGAGCTTGGAAATCTTCAAAAACCACAGCAAGTCCCAGTTCCTTCATGTTAAACATTGTTTCCTTTAGCTTCTCTCTCTCTTCTCATATTTTACTTCATGCACCACATAACGACGTCTCTATCAATGACAGGCCACACACACGACAGTGGTCCCATAAGATCAGTACCACGTAGCCCAGGTGCGCAGTAGACTAGACCATCTAGGTTTGTGTAAGCGCACTCTATGATGTTCACACAACAATGAAATCACCTAACCACACATTTCTCAGAATGCATGCCCTTCGTTAAGCGACTCGTGACCATAAGAAAGCAGGCAGCACTTTCAACACTTTCAATCACCTAGTTGATTACATACATTTCCTCCTTTCCACTTACCGTAGGCAACAGGGTTGCTACATTCTGCCACTACGTAACAAGGATCCTCCTTCCTCCAGATCCCAAAAGTATTTACATCACTTTCCTGCACATCCCCATCCACAGCTTTATCAAAGACTAGGCTTCCATTAACAATTTCTTGAAGGCATTTTAGGCTTCCACTAAAACTCTTCTCAAAGCACACCTACATTTTAGGTTTTTGTTACTTCAGCACCCAACTTGGAGGTGCCCAAATCTGTATTGGGTATCTACTGCTGTCTCACAAATTGCCCCCGAATTTAGCAGATTAAAACAACAAACATCATTCAATTCACACAGTTTCTGAAAGTCAGGAATCTAGAAGCTGCTTAGCAGGGTGGTTCTGGCTCAGGGTCTCTTGAAGTTGTAGCAAGCTGTCGACTGCCCCAGTCCTTGCAGTCTCTGAAGCTTTGACTGGAACTGAAGGATACACTTCCAAGCTCACTCATACGGCTGTTGGCAGGAAGCTTCAGTTCCCCGTCTCATGGGCCTCTCCACAGAGCATGCTTATGACAAGGTTTCCCAGAGAGTGAGCGACCCGAGAGAGAGGGAGCAACAGAGTGACCAAGATGGAAGTCACATTTTTTTTTTTTAATAATCTAATCTGGGAGGGGACCTGTCATCACTTCTGGTGTATGTCACACAGACCAACTCTGGTACAATATGGGAGAGGACTGCATATGAATCTCAGGAGGTGGGGATTCCAGGGGGTTACCACAGATGATCTGTAATGCGGCACATAAAAGCTCATGGTTATGGTATCATTAATTTATCTTTGTACTGTTTAATGTTTTTAAATTCTTTTTTTAAAATTAAGATCAACATTGCCAACTGTTATGAGCTGAGTTGTGCCCCTCCGTAAATTCATACTTTGAAGTCCCAGTCTCCAGCACCTCAGAATGTAACCATATTTGGAGATAAGGTCTTTAAAGAGGTGATCATATTAAAATGAGGCCACGAGGGTGGGGCCCTAATCCAACCTGACTGGCATCCTTATAAGAAGAGAAAGAGACACCAAGAGAAAGAGAGCACAGAGGGAAGACAATGCGGAGAGGCGGCAAGAGGGCAGCCACCTGCAAGCCACAGAGAAGACCTCAGAAGAAACCAACCCTGCTGACACCTTGATCTTGGACTTCCAGCCCCCAGAACTGTGAAAAAACAAATTCCTGTTGTTCAAGCCACCCAACCTGCGGTATTTTGTTATGGTAGCCCAAGTGCACTAAGACGCCAATCTTCCGAAAGATGCCTGAAAATATCTCACTGTTGCCTGTCTTTATTTACTCTTCTTTCAAAAAATCATTTGTTTTAATGTATATAACTATACATCAACGTATATAATTAGATTTGTTTCTATACAAAATGTATATGATAAGACTTGTTTCTAATCTAATACGATGGTCTATGCTTTCACTAGGAGAATCGAAACCTCTTTCGTTTCATATTATAGAGCATTTTAAATTTAATCCTCCACTTTCTAGAGGTGGAAGCTGGAGGAATTTATGGTCCTCTAGGACAGAAATGTGTCAGAAGATGCCTCTCCATGACTTATTGTAGATTGAATTAAGGGATCTTATTGTAATGGAAACGTTGTTTTCAAGGAATTACCAGATCAGTGCAGTCCAAGATCAAATCACTAATCTTCCACAGCCAGGGAAAGGGGACCTGTACTTAGGCAAGTTTGACAAGAGACAAAGGGGATATCACAGTGAACAGGAAGCAGATTTTGGGAAGCAATTCCTGGGGAAATTCTCAACTCAAGGAGCAACTGGCATTGGGAACTCTTAAGACAGGAAGAGCACTGGAGGGCCTTGGAGGACTCAAAGAACGTGCTTTCTGATTTGTTCTTTGCTCCGCCTCTCATCACACAAACTTCTGGTCACTTATTTATCTTTGCTGTGTCTTCTGTAGTGATTTGGATTGTATTTAGTACCCATGTTGACTTGCAATTTAATGAAACATATTTTAATCTATGTTTCTCTGATGATCAACGTCAGAACAAAATAGCGTCTTTTGCCTACCCTGCAATTAAAGTAGGAAATTGAGCATTTTTTACTTTACTTTAGCTTTTTTTCCTACCTTAAAATATATTATAAACCCAGTCTATTATAGAACCAATTCAAGTTTTTTTTTATATTCATGTTTTTCCCAAAAAACATTTTTAGCTTCTGAACTCTGTAACTATTTTTTAAAAACACAAACCTATTGGTTGGCTTCACAGGGACCACAAATCCTCTTATATCTGGACTCCTTTACTTTCAAGCTACTAATTTTGATTCTTTCTAATGTTCTATAGCATAGGTCTTTGAATAATTTTTAAGGAAAGCCACATGAGTGAAATTGCTTCTGATTCTTAGATATCTGAAAATATCTTTCCACTGCCTGTACTCATGAGTGAAATTTGGCTTGGAATAGTATGCTTAGATTATGAAGTTTCCTCTTTAGAGAAGCAGATATTACTCCATTTGGAGTTGGTGAATAAAGACTGAAGACAGCCTTATTTTTTTCCCTTTGTGGGTAAACTTATTTTCTGTCTGGTTGCTTATACGATATTCTCTTTACTCTAGATTTGCAGGCTATCTCCAGATATGGGTATTATTTTTTTCCAAAATCTTGATTTTTTTTCACACTAAAGAAAATATTTTTCTTTCATGTCTGTGATTATTACTTTTGCTCCTTTTCTTCAGCATTTTCAGGAATATTTGTCATCCATAGGTTGGATTTCTACTATTTTCACTCTGTTATCTCTTGCCATTTCATCTTTTATCCTTTACTTCTACAGTCTTGGAAAGCTAGCTCATAGATAACATTGTATCCATTGTTAATTCTGCTCGCTAGCACATCTATAGCAGTTTCACCGCTGATTGCATCCTTCTTTTATTTTGGCTGGCTCCATGTTTGACAAGGGCAGGGAACATGGAGTGACTTAAACCCACTTGGATATGCCCTTTGTGTCTGGCAGGGCCTCACCTCTCTCTAAACCTGGAGGATGGACTGATTTGTACAACCCTGGCCTGGCTTCCAGCAGGTACTCATCTGTCTGGCTCTGTTCCACCAGGGTGGATCTTAGGCACTTTCTCCTCCCAGGACTCTTCTGCCTCCAGAGCATTTCCTAAGAGACTCCCCATCCCCACATGCCATTCATCCTCTTCCCTTCCACTCGCTCTGTCTTGTCCTGGGAGAGGTGATCTTGGAACTGATATCAAAAGAGATGAACTGAAGGGGGAGAGTTGCCTGGGGCCCAATTCTGGCCATCCTGGAACCTAATTCCCATGCAGAGGGGGAGCAGTGTTCTGGTTTCAGGTTACAGTAGCTCTGAGCCCCTGAGCCTGAGCAGAGAGTGGGATGAGCAAAGATTTGTCTTGGGTTCTTGTTGGCTATTCTGTGCTGGGATTAAAAGATGAAACAGATATTGCTGCGGGGGGGGGGGGGGGGAGGGGGCGGGGGTTTCCTCAAACCATCCCCATTGGCACTGTACCTGGTGGATAGTCCCTCTAGATTTCTATCAATGCTGATAGTGTACAAAGTTTTATGTTTTAAAACATCTTGGGTGTTTTAATAGGAAATAGAGTGCATCTCAGCCTAATCCAACGGCTAATTTTTACATATTCCTGATGCACTCCCCGCCCCCCACCAGAGAAAAATGTATTTGTTATACATATAGACAATGCTTTTTCAATTCCAATAAAGGCTAAAAATTACTCCACTCATCAACTCCCATGGCAGCCAAACGATGCTTGAGGGTGGAATTCTAAAAGATGATACAAAAGGGTTAAACAGCAGCATCTGACGCCTCCAAAGCAAGCAAGGCTGTCTTGCAAAGTGGCCTGTAGGAACTGTAGCCATTTCCAGAAGCTTGTAATTACACTGACTCATCCTCCACTACATTTAGCAGATAGTTCACCAGCAAGAATATGCCCTAAACACATGTTAAAAGAAAAAATATAATACAATGTATCTTTACCTTATAATAAATTCTGGCCACCAAACTCCGCTGAAGAACCCTTTCACGAAAATTCACTGCTTTCAACAGAAAGGTGAGATTACCGACTGTGTCCACGTTAAATGCCAGGAAACTGAAGGAAAAACACAGTGACCATCATTATTATTTTGTCCTCACCAAAAACTTTCATTTCAAAGAAAGAGACAGGGTTTGTTTTTTCAAAAAGAATTTTCTTCCAACAGAAAAGCAGTGTAAGTACACATAATCACTCTCCTCTCACTTGCCGTGTTCATGCTTCTTTCGGGATTTTTCTGATGAATGCTTGGCTCCAGTTTATCCTACATGGTTGTCCTTGTGGTATAAAGATAACTTGGTTTCCTGCTTTTCACTTACTATTTTATTAAAGGAGTGTTCAATATTTTACATAGTCTTTCTTCATTAACAGGTACATAATTTCCGTCAAGTAGGTTTATAATCATTTACTCAACCATTGTCGGGCATTTGTTACAATAATGATTATAAATGAACTGGTAATCAAATATATCTGTCACAAAGTCTTTGTAAACGAATAATATTTATTAAATACATCATGTATCAGGAACTATACTAAAAGTATTTTCTGTGAATTATTCAATAATCTCAATAATTTTATGATGTAGATACTATAATTACCCAATGTACAGTTTGAGAAACTGAGGGTCAGCAAGATTCAGTGACCTGCTCAAGGTCACACAGGCAGAACATGCTCAAGATTGGGATCTGTCTTAAGGGACACTAACGGACACCAGTATTTAAGGGAAGAGGAGCCACGGAGGGCAGTGAGAGGGGTGTGGGCAAGCACAGGGCAGAGTGTGCCACAGAGATGTGGCTTTCTTCAGCAGGTAGTAATTTCCATCTTCTCCATCTGGCAAATGAGGAAACTGAGGCACAAGGGGTTAAGACACTTAGGCACAAACAAACTCAAATCACCCAAGTCTCCCTCAAAACCCTACAGGCTTTGCATCATGCAACTCTGCCTTCTATGCTAATTTTGTCCACACACACACCCCCCCATCCCCCCAGGAAACTTCTGTCTTTAGAACTTAGATAGACAGCTAAAGGGTTAATTCACACTTAGAGTTTCCCAGAGCTGAGCCACCCCTTTGCCCTTGGGAAGTAAGTTATTATAAGACCCAAAAAGATTCTCATTAATTAAAATTAAAAACCCACCAGTAGCTGTTGTTGGTGCTTAATCAGAAGCCACGAAAGAAAATGAAGAAGCAATTGATATCATGCTTTTGAGAATGCCAGCTCTGAATTAATACTTGCTCTCCATTTAGACAGGAAAGATGGGAGGTTATTTACAAGCCAATTATCAAGAAATTTAAATTATATAAATACTTATTCTGAATCTGGTCTTTAGAAGGTTGAGTTTCTGTCTCAGTCTCTTTATAACAAAAAGTGTAAAGAATTTTCATATTTTACAGAAAAGTATGTTTTAGGCATTCCAGGGACCATTACTGTAAAACCTGGAGACTGTGAATGTTGTTATTAGAAACTACCTTTCTTGGGATGTTTATCATAGAACACTGTCCACCTGAGATTGTGAACTGCATGTGCTACACGAAGTGGATCTCACCCACCCACCCTAGTGTGAGTCACATGTCAGGCTCGACCACACCACATGGCTCTAGGGACTCACCCAGCACGGAAAACTGTGCAGACTCTCTTAAAAATAGGAATATCGCTAAAGGCAACCTCCTAGTATTTTAAAAGAAGGTCAAAATGACTCTAAACTTAAATAAAATTTAAATTAAACTCAAATGCATATCATTGGTCATCACGGAAATGCAAATGCAGACCTCAATGAGGGAGCATTATACATCCACCAGATTGACTAAAATCAAATACATGGACAACATCAAACGTTGACAAGGATATGGAGTGACCAGAACTCTCACACTTGTTGATGGAGTGTAAAATGGCAAAACCCCTGTGGAAAAAGTTCTCAGTTGCTCACAACACTAAACAAACACATACCCTATGACCCAGCAATTCCACTCCTACTATTTACCTTAGAGAAATAAAAACATGTATTCACAAAAAGGCTTGTATACGAATGTTCACAGCAACTCTATTCAAAGGAGTGAAAAATTGGAAACATCTCAGGTGTCTATCCATCAATAAGAGAATGGAAAACAAAGCCTAGTATATCCACAAAACAGAATACTACTCAGCAATAAAAAGGAACAAACTAACGTACATGATGACATGAATGAATCTCAAAAAGCATTACACTGAGTTAATAAGCCAGCTACAAAAGAGTACATACTGTATCGTTCCACTTATATGGAATTCCATAACAGGGAAAACTAATCTGTGGTAGAAAAATATCAGAATAGTGGCTGCATCTGGGGTCGTGGTCACAGAGATTGAAAAGGGACATCAGAGAATCTCCTGGAGTGTTGCTAATGACCTACAACTTAATAATAGTTTTGGATACACAGGTATATGAATTTGTCAAAACTTAGTGAATGCACTCTTAAGATTTGTGCATTTTGGGGCCAGCCCCGTGGCTTAGTGGTTAAGTATGCGCGCTCCGATGTTGGCGGCCCCGGTTCGGATCCCGGGCGCGCACCGACACACTGCTTGTCAAGCCATGCTGTGGTGGTGTCCCATATAAAGTGGAGGAAGATGGGCAGGGATGTGAGCCCAGGGCCAGTCTTCCTCAGCAAAAAGAGGAAGGATTGGCATGGATGTTAGCTCAGGGCTGATCTTCCTCGCAAAAAAAAAAAAAAAGATTTGTGCATTTCGTTGTATATAAATTCTACATAAGAAGAAAAAAGTGCAACCAAATATTGAACACTAGTTAATGATGTTCATGCTGAACTATTTAGAAGTATACTGATGTCTGCAGTTTATCCTGAAACGCACCAAAAAACAGATGAATTGAGGGGTGGGTTGAGGGACTGATACATGGGTATAGCAATTATAGTAACATGTTAGCAGCAGAATCTATAGGGTAGGTATATGAAAGTTCACTAAAATTCTTTCAATCTTGCTAAATATTTGAAAATGTTCATAACATAATATGGCAAAACATTCAAGCACAGTGCAGAATCTTGACTTTCCTCAACCCCCACAGCCTCCTAAGGATCCCGGGGCTGATGAGAGCAGTGGGAGCTCCAGGGGCAGCCCCTTGGGAGAAGGGAGAGGCAGACTCACTGGGACAGGAAGGGGCAGAATGGAGCTGCTTGCAGAACCAGGTTCCGCCCCTCGCAGAGCTGAGCCCTGCCCTCCTCACCTAGTCTCAGGGAGCCTTTTCAGGACCATGACTGACTCCTCCCACAGTCCATATGAGGGGTAGCCGCTGAGTGTCCACACAAACGGCTGCCTACTTGGAAGGATTTCAGGGCACCAGGAAGTTCTCAGCCCATCTTTCCTCATGTCCCCACCTGCTCACGGGTACTCCTGTTGTGAGTCGTCAATATGACTGCCATGCGACCGCTCTTCTAGAGCATAAGCTCCATGAAGACTGAGAACCCACAGCCACTGCCGTATCATCTGTGTCTAGAGAAGTTCCCAGGACACAGTGCGTGCTGAAAACGTGTTGGATGACAAAGCCTGTTCTTAATAGACATAAAAATCAGAGCAAGTAAGGTTTTGGGACTTAAGTAGATAAACACAGACAGACTGAATCAGTAAAACCTGGATGTGTGGGAGAGAGATATGTACTGTTTCGGAGGTTAATAACCGAGACAAAAATAAATGGACTGGAACTTTGCAAATATTTACAATGGGAATACTGCCTTTGGCACATCTCAAGTCTACCCTGGAAAAGCTGCTAGGAATAGAGATTTGCATATGGGTGAGAGTCTGTTATGCTTTCAGAATGACGGAAAGAAGCCCTGCTCTGTTATCTGGAAAAGAAACGAAAGGACAGATGATTTGCAGACAGTTTGGAAACAAGTTTCCTGAATGGATGAAGCTGATTCTGAGGGGAATTGGACTGTTCTTTAAACTCCTTAAATGTTGGAAAATTCTCAAACTAATAAATTGGGAGGGGGGGAGCTATCAGTACTATAAAATGTGCTTTCACGGCTAGAAATATCAAAAAGATGCACTGGCTTTGTGCAAAGACAAATTGAGACATTCAAACTAAGAGAGACTTAAGTGAAACAGCCTTAGGATGTGGGAGCTGATGTTTTCAAGCTCCGAGATAGAGTACAGTTTGAATAAACAGGAACCTAAGCAGTAGTAAAAAAAAAAAAAAAAAAAGAGCTGGGGAGAGGACAGATTACAGATTTCTTAATTTCACTTCACGCCAACAGATATGAAAAGTCCCATACTCTCATTTATTGTGTTTCCCATGTTCTGAATCAGGATTGTAATATTATATTTTCTAATGAACAGTTTCCTTGGAAATTAGTTCAATACATTTGGGTTATGGAGACCAATAACCTGTCTTCAAATGGAAATAATAATTTTTTTAAAAAAAGCAAAAGAAAAAAGCATAATAAGCGTCTCAAAAGCAGAAGAAGGGAGGCAATATATTCATGAGCATAAATCAACGAAGTAGAAAACAAAGGTATGACAGAGGGTCAACAAAAGGAAAAGCTGGTTGTTTGAAAAAAATAATAAACTAGACAAACATCTGGTGAGACTAAACAACAAAAATAAAAAAGAGAGAAGGCACAAGAAATAATTTTAGGAATGACCAATGGGACACAACTTAGATCTAGCAGAAGTTAAAAAGATAATTGGAGAATAGTACGAAAAACCTTATACCAATAAATTCAACACCAAATGGATAAATTCCCAGAAAAATACCATTTACCAAAACTGACACAAGACAAAGCCTACATGGCCTTAAAACAATTAAACTAATTGAATCAGCAGTTTAAACATTCCCCCAGGCCCAGAGAGTTTTCAAATAACTTATCAAATTCTTTCATAGAATAAGAAACTACTCCTAAAATAACTTTATGAGACCAGTAAAACTTGAGATAAATCCAAATCAGGGAAGTACAAAAAAGGAAAATGATAAGCCAATAAGTAAACAAAAATCCTAAGAAATAGTACTAGCAGACCAATACCAGGAAAATATAAAAATGATAACGCAGCATAACACAATTGAGTGTTTCTCAGACATGCAAGAGTAGTTTCACGTTAGAAGATTTACAAGGGTTATTTATCAAATTGCCAGACTAAAGAAGAAATATCATAAGATCATTTCAATAAATGCAAAAAATCATTTGAAGTAAAACTCATCATCTAGCAATGACATCATTCTTTTTTTTTTTTTTTTTTTTGTGAAGAAGATCAGCCCTGAGTTAACAAGCATGCTAATCCTCCTCATTTTGCTGAGGAAGACCGGCTCTGAGCTAACATCTATTGCCAATCCTCCTCCTTTTTT